TTGTTTTTTATCGCATTGTTAAAGTGAATTCTTGGACGTTCAATTTTTTCGTGATTTTATTTTCACCCGAGAAACAAGTTTAATTTCAGGTGGAATTAATTTTTTCTTCACTAATATGTGTAAGTATTGCAAAAAAGCTTAATCCATGCGATATTGCAATGTGAAACAATATTTTGAAGAATTCGAAATATATATATGTATGTATGAATTTCAACAATTTCTAAGATCGATTATTATCAATTTAAATTCTGCAAAAATCACTTCAACAGAGCGATCTATTTTTAACTACAATTTTATGATTACAAATTAAATAAAAATTCGAAATACCCATTTTTATAGGATTTATTTCGATATAGTAATGCTATATTGAATAAAGAGAAACTTTCAAAAATCTCACGATATTTTGAAAAAGCTAGAATAATACTAGTAATTCAATATAATAGTTGAAAGTAAATTCAATATTTTCAAAAAAAAAAACGATATCTGTTTGCGAGCAATAAAAAAAAAAAAAAAAGAATACACAAAATGCTTTGTACGAACAAAAAAACGAATCCACCGTTTATCCTTATATATTTTCAAACAAAAATCTTTATCGATAAATTGCAAAACGTCGAATTGCAGCCAACTCGACAAACAGCAACCCCTGTATTTCCATCATTCGTTTCGTAGTTCCTTCAACAGCCATCATCCTCCAATTTTCAGCAACTGAAAATCCACGACTGCATCGACTCCATCGAAAGGAAACGTAAATACGCTTAAAAGCTACTCGAACGATCTCGTCTCCAGCCTGCAAAGCGGGTTAATCGCGTGCCCTAAGGCCGAGATTTCTATTCCTGCATTTTTTACTTGCATCCGATTCACGTGCCGATTTCTTTATCGATTACAAATAAGCGTGTAAGTAACGATCTATCTAAATTATACTCATGGAGGACTATTGTTGATTTAAAAAAAATATATATATAAATATTTGAGAGAATTAAAATCAAGAATTCTCTCGATTCTTCATATACAGAAATTTATTTTACAAGCATAATTAAAAGATTGTTCCATGATTATGGGATATTCCATTCGTAAGTCATCTTTGGAGAGTCGATCCATACTTGTATATTATTCAATCTATAAAAATCCACGATCTATTCGCAAGAACCGTAAGAATAAAAATTGATGAAGAACACTTGTATCACAGTATTCCATTTAACCCTTCAATTTCAGTTATTAATAAAATTAATAAAAACTGGATCGATCACTTCGTCAAATTTATTCATTGAAAGAATATCCCCCTCCCCGAAAATATGGAAACCCAACGTCTACTAATTATTTCACCCGGTCGAAATTGGAGGATCGAGGAGGAAGTTCGAGAGGCGGAAACACGCAATCGAGCAAACCAACGCATCCAAACCTCTTGACTAGAAGTTTCGTTTCGAAACGTGGCCTCCATCGCGTGACTTTTCCACGTTTTAACCATGGATTCGTCGAAGCAGCTCCGCCTTGCGTTTCATCGATACGGCCAATGATAATAACGTATCTGGGATAATTATGGAACGATTCGTCCAACGGTTCGAGAGATCGATATGAAAATGTGTGGTTGGAAATATGGGGAAAACTTGCCTTCATTTATTTCCCTCTTTGCATGGCGAAACGAGGATTTTCTTGCGCGTGGAATCGCTCGAGAGAAGAATGCGTGGAACACGACAG